GTGTTAAATGATTATAATTTGCTATTGTATGATGGGTTTTTGTTGTATGTTGAATATTTATCCGAATTGTTTATGAATTTGATGTTATTGTTGGATTATGGTGATTAGGGTTTTGACGGTGTTTTTGATGAATTAATTGACATTTTGTATTTTGTTGAAGTAAAAATATGATTAATTATATGTTGTTGTTGGAATGAGTTTTAAATTTACATTGGTAAAATAATAATTGAAATTTTCTTGAGTGTTTGATTAGAATTAGCCATTATGTGTTGTTGTAATTTGTAAAATAGATTTTTTTTTGTGCAACAGGTTATAAATGGCGTCTAACGGTCCCTACCTTGTTAATGTGTACTGGAAAATTCCCCAGAGTGAGTTATGGAATTTTTCGAATTATATGTATCGTCCGGATTGTTCATTTGTTATTGATGGAATAATATCATATGAACAATTGGTAGATATGATTTACAAATATGGTGGGTTTCGTGATAGTTGGACAATTTCAGATATTACTTTCATGGCCAGACAACCGGATGGTTCGTTTATTCCCGGAAGACTGAATAATGATAGTGCTCTTTCGCGGATTTACTACTTTCCTCCTATGTCCTTTGTGTTTTTGTATATAGTGTTGGAAGCAAACACACAGGTTACACAGGTTGAGGATCCTACGACATCATATGATTACGGGGGAGTGTTTGGTGGTGAGGCTACGTGTACTACGCATGCCGGTAATTTCGGCGAAGGGACGAGTAATTTCGGTGAAGGGACGAGCTTTACCATGAGAGGACCGGACATTGAGGAAGAAATTGTTGGAGATGAAGATTTCAGGCCCGGTGAAGACGATTTCACTGATGAGACATCAGAAATCGAATCGGACAGATCAATTAATGAGGAGAATGAACAAGAATTCATTGAAGAACACCCATTTCCAAATAAAGGCTTTCACGTATATCGCGAGATGGGTGAGTGGGACCCGTCGTGTGTAGACAGGGACGAGTATGCCTTGCCACTCTGGAATGGGCATGTCGAGACTATTCGTTTGGGTACAGTTTTTCGTACCAAGAAAGAAGCCCAGATTGGTATTATGGCATGGAATGTTGAGAAACTTAGGGCGGTCAGAACAAAAGATTCCAACAAGAAGTCTTTCAAACTTGTGTGCCGATCAACTGAAGTTGTACCATGTATATGGAAGGCTCGGGTGAGTCTTAACAAACGGGATCACGACAAGTGGGAGGTAACCGAATGGACTGATAGCCACACTTGCATGCAGGTGGTCGAGAGAAATGACCACAAGAATGTGACCGCAACATCGTCTTCTTCGGTACCACAGTCTCGGAGAGGGTCCCGAATACGCAAGCCTAACTCCTAGTTAGTTTGGGTTGTATTCTGTGATTTTGTGGACATTTTCTTTTTTTTTTCTTTTATTTTTTGTATTGGATTTTGAGATATTTATTTTTGATGGTTTTGTGTACATATTTTGTGGTTTACTTTTTTTTTTTATATCGGTAATTGAGGTTGACTTTTTGTATATAGTGTTTCGTGTATGCATGCATGCTAGATTATTGTTTGACGAATGAATTGATATTAAAATGATATTATTTCGTGTTCAAAATGTTAAATCAAAATTTGTAAAAAACTTTCATATTGAAGGATAAGAATAAAAAATCAGCCAAAATAAACGCGATCGATGGTAAACGAGTTCGTGAGCATCTAAGAGTCGAGCCTTAACTTAAAAAAATAATAAAATAGAAATAATAAAAAATCAATAAATAAACACGGATTCTAAGAATTCGTGTTATAACTTAATTAGTTCAATTGAAGTCAAATTAATACAATCTCAGTCAATTATAGTGTAATCGAACTCGAATTAGTCCAATTAATGTCAAATTAGTTTATATGTTATAGTTTATAGTTATAGTTTATAGTTTATTGTTTATAGTTTATAGTATATAACATAGTTTATAATATATACTATATACTATATGTTATATAAACTATATACTATATAATATATACTATTATAATATATACTATATACTATATAAAATATACTATATATTATATATTATATTATATACTATTATAACATATACTATATACTATATACTATATAATATATACTATGTACTATATATTATATTATATACTATATGGTATTATATAGTTTGTAATATACATGTATATACTATGGTATATTATAACATAGTATATTATAATATATATGTATATACTGTATATTAAAAATACTATGTACTAAAAAAAATCTTGATATTGAAGGATAAAAATAAATTTTGCGCAAAAATAAACGCGATAGCCTAGCGGCGTAATGGTAAGGAGGTGTGCCCAGAGATAACGGACTCGTCCACCCGGGCTCGAGTGCCGAATCTGGGGTCCTTCTACCAATTTTAAAGATTTTTGTAAACGGATTTTGAGAATCCATTTTACAATTAATTGTAAAACGAATTCTCACATAAAAAATAAAAAAATAAAAAAATAAATAAATAAACACGGATTCTAAGAATCCGTGTTATAATGTGAAACGGATTTTAAAATCCGTGTTACCTAACACGGATATTCAAATTTTTGTAAACGGATTCTGAGAATCCATTTTACAATTAATTGTAAAACAGATTATCACATAAAAAATAAAAAAAATAAAAAATAAATAAATAAACACAGATTCTAAGAATCCGTGTTATAATGTAAAACGGATTTTGAAAATCCGTGTTACGTAACACGAATATTCATAAAACGTTTTTTGTTGAATTAATTAGGGTTAATCACGTCATTAAGGAAAGACGGATTCTGAGAATCCGTTTTTTGCTCGGAATTAAGAAAAAATGGATTCTCAGAATCCGTTTTTCCTTAAAACGCGGATTCTGGGAATCCGCCTGTTTTATTTTTTTCCAAACTAATTTTTTCTGATTTATTTTTGTCCACTTCTTTTTTTTTTTAATTAAATAAATGATTCTCTTAAGTTTCGTGCTGTTGGGGCCTACAAGCACACAGCTGCATGCTGGTAGATGTCCAAAAACTTTTCTCTTGAAAAACCTGCATGAGTAGTCATTACCTGCTTTTATGTTATTGTGTAAGTGGGTGTATAAACCTTCTAGGCGAACCTTATCAAATAACATAGTCAGGGTGATGTTTAGTGAATTTGACAGAAGGCTTGGATTGGGAGAGAATTGTGATATGACATAATTAGTTTTCAGTTTCCATAAATATAGAAACCTCTAAATGGACAAGAACTATGATTGGTGGGTGGTACGACATCTCGTGAAAGAAGAAAAACAGATCAAAACATAATTATAGATGGCCACAGCTTATAAGCTGAAGCAATTGTTATTTTCTTGATAGATTGCTGTAGTGGAATGTTTGTGGTTAGCTACCGAATATTGATTAATTGTTGTTGCTTTCAGCTCATAGCTTGAAGAGCACAAGGACACAAGGGGGCACCTTCAGTGCTTTATAACTTTGGAAGTATTTGTTACTGTTTCTAGTTATCCTGATGGATACAGTGTTCTTGGCTTTTGAAGCTATAGTAAAGTCGGTCTTGGATTGGGTAACTTTGGCTTTTGATGCGCCAAATACTCGAGCTATTGTCTTTGGAGTACCAATCAAAGGCAAATTTTTTCTGTGATGTTTCGATGCATGATATCAACTTTTGTATTATGAAAAGTATGTAATTTGTTCAAATCGTTACAGGCCATCTGCTGATAGAGGGTCTTCTCTTTGTTGCGATTCTTTTTCTTCTATCCCAGAAGAGTTACAAGCCACCTAAAAGACCTCCGACAGAGAAGGTTGGTGTTGTGCATTTTAGATGGGATGATTTTTTTTTTTTTTTAATAATAAACCTTAAGGCTGTTTATTGTCTAATTTTTATAGGAAGTAGATGAGTTATGTGATGAATGGGTCCCAGAACCCCTCATTCCCCCTATCACTGATGAGATGAAATATTGGAAAGGTCAATTTTCTCAAATAGAATACCTTTCTCAAATCTTCTCAACTGTTCTGGAAATTAAATTATTCCTAAATTCCTGTTACGCTGTGAGTTGCTTCGTGCAGAGCTGCTGGACCTCATACTGTAATTGACGGGAAAGATGTTGTAAACTTCACATGTGCAGACTACCTTGGTCTTCTGGGGAATGAGAAGCTACACGTGAGAGGAATTTGCCTCTTCTATACCATCTTCATCTCTAGATTGATTCCAATATTTCCAACTGATATTGTTGTTTAAATAGGACTCATGTACTAAATCACTGGAGAAATATGGTGTTGGCTCCTGTGGGTCCTCGTGGATTCTATGGGACAATCGGTATGAGAAAAGACTGAAATATGTTAAATGCATGCATTCATTGAACGTTGAACAATATGAGACTGTGGAGAATATTTTTATTGATGCAGATGTACACCTTGATTGTGAGGCCAGGATCGCGATGTTTCTTGGAGCTCCTGATTCTATTCTCTATTCCTATGGACTTTCCACAATGTTTAATATCATTCCAGCATTTTGTAAGAAGGGCGATGTCGTAGTTGTGTGAGTGTTTCTTGGCTTTTCTATTGTTATATTCTAATGTGCAAACAAGATATTGTTGGAAGTTTTGGTGAGAATCTGTGGAATTTGTGATCTGGATGGATTTAAGTGTAGGTAATTCCTTTTCTCGTACTATTCGGCATATATGTTATGCTTCTGATATCATCCTCTTGTGTCCTACTCCCTTAATCTTTCAACCCTATCTTTTCCATTACCAGTTAAAAAGCATGTTGTCTTCGGGTTCACCATTCATGAGTTATTACGCCCCACCTCCTTATCATAAATGTTGCTGCTTGTCTGAAATTAGGTGCTTAGTTCCTGTTTCGTGCTTCATCCTGTAAATAATTTCATGGTGCAAAAATTATCCTTTTCTTGATTCGATAATTTTTCTATTCGGTTTCACGACATTTCATCTAGTATCAGCTTGAATCTTGATAGCATCTAGCTATGCACTGTTTGCTGCCTGTTGTGTTGCAACAGATAACAAATCTCTTCATTGGCATATGCATATCTGATTTTTTTTTTATTTTTTTTTTTATTTTTATGGAATGAAATACTTAACTTGCATAACTGACCTCTTTGGTTGGGGTGATGGTGACGGCTCTTTACAGTGACGAGGGTGTCTACTGGGGAATACACAATGGCCTTTATCTCTCCAGGAGTACAATTATTGATTTCAAACACAATGACATGAAGTCTTTAGAAAGTATCCTGGAAAATGTTACCCACGCCAACAAACGAACTAAGAAGCTCAGGCGTTATATTGTTGTAGAAGCTGTTTATCAGGTACAATTGTTTACATCAGTACTTCTTGAAATTATTATTTTGCATCGTGCCTTTTATGTTTGCTGATTTTCCACTTATGCGTTGGTAATCCAAAGTAGAAGATAAAAAGGGTCAGTATATATCAGTGACATATCTTCATGCCTGAAATATTGACACACTATACTGCAATTTGCTAATGATGTGCTTTTTTTTTTTTAAGTTATTTATTTTTCATTTTCTGAGTAAATAATTGAGCTATAATTTATCTTGTTCAACTCCAGAACTCTGGCCAAATTGCTCCACTGGATGAGATCATCAAATTGAAAGAGAAATATCGTTTTCGTGTGATACTCGATGAAAGCAATTCAATTGGAGTTCTTGGGAGTTCTGGCAGAGGCCTAACTGAACATTTCAAAGTTCCAGTAAGTTCCTTTTAAGTTTCAGCCATCTCTGTGTACTGCTTGTATATATTTACCTTTTTTTAATACACCCGTTTGTTGCAGATTGAAAAGGTGGATATTGTGACTGCTGCAATGGGACACGCATTAGCCACTGAAGGAGGATTTTGCACTGGGAGTAATCGAGTGATCGATCACCAGGTATGCTTGTTTCCATGAAATCTGTTTGGATTTGGAATGATATGAATGCAGATGATATAAATTTGCTCTCAATTTAAAAACATCACATCTATACCTCTTGTTCAAAAGTGAAAAAAATTATTCATTCCTTAATCGTGTTGTCCTAGGAACCCATCTCCTGGGTAAAGCAGCACTTAAGATATCTAATCAGGATATTTGATAACAGTGGCATAGGTTTTCACATATATAGGGTACATACACTATAAGCATGCCTTGTGTAATGGAAAGCGGCTCATTGCATGTGGCGTTGAAATTCCAGTTAGTATTATCTTCCGATAGTGTTTCTCACACTCACAACAAACTTGTGTATATTTTAAATATTGATGTAAAATTAGCTTAATGCATTATGTTGTAGCATGTAGTCAATTTTCTTGCTATTTCCGTTACGTTTTCTTGGTTCATACATTATCCTTTTTTCTTTACTTTTATTTCGGTTTTATTGGAGAAATGGGGAATAGAATTTTGTTCAAGTTTATCTATGATAATGTCATCATCAGAATTTGTTTAGTATCTTCAGCAATCGTTTTAATCATTTGATACATAATTAAATAATTATGTATCACCTAATTGAGCAATCTTTTTAATCATGTCATTTCCAGCTAATTGCTATCTTCTTAGTATCTGTGTCAAGTACTTTTTGGCGTCAGAATTACCCAATCATCGTTTACTTTTCCGGTGTTATGGCTTGTTAAGTGCTTGTTACTACATGCTATTAAATTTCTTAGGATTTGGATAGTGGAATATAACCGTAATATCGGGATTAGCAGCTATTTGGGTCTGCAAAGCAAGAACTTTAGTTGCTCGTGCTATACTGCTATATCACAAAAAGAACAATTTCCAGATTTTTCTAATGCCAATAAAAATACTCCTTTGACAGCGTCTCAGTGGTTCCGGTTATGTGTTCTCTGCTTCTTTGCCTCCTTATTTGGCAAGTGCTGCAATCACTGCTATTGATGCGTTGGAAGAAAATCCAAATCTCATCCACAAAGCTGAAGGAGAATGTCACTGCTCTGCGTAAAGGTTTTTCTTCTACTCTTCCCTTTCCATATATAATAATTCCATAAAACTTTATCGTTCTTCTTCTAAACTAAATGTGCAGTTTCTGAAAATTATATCTTTAACATCTCTCTCTAACATTGTGTGAAATTCCAGGTTTATCTGATGTACAGGGCCTTGAGATAGTCAGTGATCCTGAATCACCAATGGTTTTCATGAGACTCACGAAGTCCACAGGATCCGTGAAGGGTGATCTTCGAGTGCTCCAAGATATTGTTGATCATGCAAGTAGTTATAATTCTTAAGACTTACATACTTGTTTCTCAATTACCCCATGATTTGGTGTAATTTGGAAAATGGAACTCAATTTTAAAAAAGATAAAGGGGATTGCTGTAATTAGGCCAAAATTCATGGGTCGAATTTGCAAATCACCCGTTTTTCTGAGGCGATGTCATTGTGTTTCTGCAGTTACTGAAAGAACACTCGGTTTTTGTTGCAACTACCAAAAGGTCCACGGTGGACAAATGCAAGTTGCCTGTCGGGATCAGATTATGTGTGTCTGCAGCCCATACATAAACCGATCTGCAGAAAGCATGCGATTATTTGAAAAGAACCACTGCCCTTGTATTGACCGGTCATTAACTCGAGTCGGTTAATGTTGATACGACTTCAAAGCGATCTACGCCCATGTTCAGATGTTCTTACATCATGATTAGGCTATAGAAGAGTATGGGGCCTTGATGTGTGTTGTGGTCTGTTGTGGAACAAGTTTGGTTTAAATCATCCTGTATTTATTTATTTAATTTTTTTTTTTTGTTTTGTTCAGAGTGGTTTTTATATTTGTAGTTGTTTTGTACTAAAAATAGATTATGGATCATGAGACAGGTCCTTGTTTTGTAGAAAATAATATTTTGTTCAATTTAATGAATGGGCGAGAAAGTTTTGTCATTTTCATTAATTTGATATCCTGATATTATATAGATATTAGATATAGATAATTTTAAAAGTTACTGAACAAACTATAAATTACAAATCAAAATATAATAACGCGTATGAGACTTTCTAATTTTTTTTTTCTAAAATAAAATAATTGTTTAATAACTATTAAATTGTGAACAGTTGGTTTTATTTTTTATTTTACTTTCGAATTGCTATTTTTGATATTCGCCTTGTATGTTTGTAAAAAAATTACAAAAAGATCCGTCTCATACATAAGAGACGAATTGGAACCTTTTTTTTTTTTTT